ACCTCCCAGAACATTGTTTTGTGCCACTCCCAACAGAAATACTCCAGATGGGCACCTTCAGCAATCAGGAGCTCCTCAGTTGCTCATAGCAAATTCCACCTTGGAGTTTACAAAGACTTATGGGTAGAAAAGCCACACAAAGTAATTTACTACACTGCAGAAACCCAGTGGGGGTTGTGATGAGTCAGAATTGACTTGATGGCGGTGCTTTTGGTTTTGGTAACATAATTGGAGGGGGCATCATCTTGCTCCATTGCCTTTTTCAGTTTTATAATTATTGTCTTTAGGTACTACCTTTGTACAGTATAAGGGGAAAGATCCTGCCTTTACAGATAGTTTTATCATCCTTCTCTTATTGATACTTACATACTATCACTTTCAAGCAGAATATCTAAGTTTGTATAGGCCTATGATTGGGATAAAATCATGTGTGTGGGATTGTCTTAATTTAGGAACCTGAGATCCAGAACCTTGGAACTTTTAATTCCTTACTTTGTGTTAAACATGGGTAACTGTAGGAATATCGGGTTCTGTAAATTGTGGCCTCATTAAAAAATTCATGGAGGCAGGGTAGTTCTACTTCATGTAACATGGGAGCCCATGTATTTTGGTTATTTAGTGCCATTCTCACAGAAAATACCACAAATGAGTGGTTTCAGCAAACAGGGATTTATTCTCTTAAGTTTAGGAGGCTAGAAGTCCAAGCTCAGAATGACAGCTCTAGGGGCTGGGTGAAGGCCCTTTGACCTTGGGCTTCAGCTCTGCCTCTTGCTCCCAGTGCACTGGAGCTAGAGACATCTCTTAACTCAGGCAGCTACTGGCTGCTGAGGCTGACAAACCCAAAGTCAACAAGTAAAATGCACAGCCCTAAAATTATCAAGCAATATGGCAGGCCACTGATGCAAGTCCGTTAATAGTCCCAAGATTGGCACACAATATAGCAGCCTATTGAGATGAAGACTTAGGTACATGCTGGGTCCAGGCATGCCAAAAAGCACTGAGACCTTTCTCAGCGCCTTTCCTTGTATACTGGAAGCAGACCACATCCCTAAGGCAGCTACTCAGCTGTTCCAGTAG